GCTTTCTTGGATGAGTACTGACCTGCATCATTTTTCCAGACTTAATTAAAGCTTCATATTAATTTAGTTGACCAAGCCACTGTTTTGTGTTACGCAGAATCCTAGGCACGGGAGTTATCCAACTTTGTAAGACACAGCTCCTTTTGGTAGGGAAGGCAAATCTTAAACTGATAATATTAGTACACTGTGCTCATAAAGAAATGCACCAGGAAGCGATGGAAAAAGGAGCTGACCCAGACTGTGGACGTGCTTGGAAGATGTAGTACCCTGAAAGATAAGTAGGTTACATGATATACATCTGTAACCACCAAGAAAGTGAAAGACAATCTACAGAATGGGAGAAGATATTTACAAATCATGTATCTAATATGCAACTTGTAGCCAGAATAGAAAAAAATTTGATTCATTTGAAATACAGTGTTGGAGAAGAGTTATAGATACCCTCAACCTCCAGAAAGACAAACAAGTGGGTCCTGGGGCAAATTAAGCCTGAAACATCACTAGAGGCAAAAATGACAAAACTGAAACTGTCCTACTTCAGGCACATCATGAGAAGTCAGGGTACTTTGGCTGGGGAAAATAGAAGGCAGCAGGAAAAGAAGAAGACCACGTATGAGGTGTATTGACTCCATAAAAGAAGCCATAGGCAGGAGTCTACAAGAGCTGAGCAGGGCTGTTGAAGACAGGATACTGTGGACATCGCTCATTCATGGGGTTGCCAGGAATCTGAGCTGACTCAATGGCGCGCGCGTGCGCGCGCACACACACACACACACACACACACACACATACACACACACACGAGCATCTAGCTATAAAGAACACTTAATTAAAATAGGAAGCTACCAGATGATTTCCTCGGGTCACCAGGAGTCAGAGCTGACTCAATGGCATGTAACAGAATATATAAAGGACACTTACACAATACAAACAAAAATAACTCAGCTTAAAAAAAATGGGCAAAGGATCTAAACAAATATTTCTCCAAAGAAGATACACAAATGGCCAACAGCACATGAAAAGTGGCTCAACATCATTACCATCAGGAATGATGCAAATCAAAAGCACAATGAGATACCATATTACTCCCACTAGGATAGCTATCGTCAAAGAGACAGATAATGACAAGTGTTGGCGAGGATGTGAAGAAACTGGAATCCTCATATACTGTTGATGGGAATGTAAAATGGTACAGCCACTTTGGGAAACAATCTGGCAGTACCTTAAAAGGTTAAATGTAGGGTTAACATAGACTCAGCAAATCCAATCTCAGGCTTATATCCAAGAGAAACAAAACTGTATTTTCACAGAAAAATCTGTAGTCGAATGTTTATAGCAGCATTATTCATAGTGGCTGAAAAGTGGGAAAAACCCAAATGTCCATCAACTAATAAAGAGATAAAAAAAAATGTGGACATAAAGGAATGAAGTACCGATTCATGCTAAAACATAATAAACTTTGAAAATACAAGCACAATGAATGAAGCTAATCACAAAAGACCACAGTGATTCCATTAATGTAAGCTTTCCAGGACAGACTTATCCACAGAAACAGAAAGCAGATTAGTTGTTGACTAGGGCTAGGACTGGAGGAGTTGGGGAAAATGAGAGGTGACTGCTAAGAGGTATAGGGTTTCTTTTCGGGGTGATGAAAATGTTCTCAAAGTGATTGTGGTGATGGTTTCTAAACCGAATATACTAAAACCCATGATTTTGCACACATTACACAGGCTAGTTGTAAGATGTGTGAATTATATCTCAATATAGAGATAATATAAAAAAGATATATTGTGGTATCACAATTCCATGAAAATTTTGGTTGTTGAGACATTTCTGAGAAGGACCATAAAATAATATCGGTAACAACAAAATAACACCTCAGATTTCCATGCCTAGTACTTTTTAGTAGTTTATCAAATTAGAGAACGTATGGAGTAAAAGCACTTAAAAATGATGTCTTCATAAAGTAGCTCTTGCTTCATTATTTTTACTTCATCTTGAATTTACCTATAAGCCAGAATAATAAACTTACTGACTAGCATCATTTGTGTTAATTGTTACAATTTCTAATGGTACAGAAAAGATTTACGTAACAGGACATTAGGTGGGGCTTATCACCATGACTCCCACACGACTGCATAAAACAGCACAATCTCTTTTATGCACACAAATGCCATCTCTGAGGAGGCTCTAAGCAGTCATTATTTAAATCTAGAGCAGGACCTACTAAATAATAATAATGGCCTTTTTAACAGAGTTAAAATTTAC